CATTTTTTCAAATTTTTTTATAAATCAAAACATAATTAAAGCAATATTTTATGATTTATTTGAGCTTTTTGAACTGTTATCCCATGCTACTGTTTAAAAAGTTTTCTAAAAGATTGCTCATAAAAAAGAACTGAGCAAGAATATTGAAGAATAAAAAGTGAGCTAATTGAGAGCTGAAAGTTGCCGTTAGAATAATTCATAAGAAATATGTTAACAAAAAGTATTTTGTAAAATGTCAGTTAAAATGTTGCAATGATTGTTTTAAGAGAGTAAAAGTTTTTTCTCACTTATAAAAAAGGCTTTTTTTTTGAAAAAAAACGAAAAGTTAATAATTAAATTTTAGAAGTCAAAACAGAATTTTGTGAGCATAAGCAAGCAGCACACTTGACAAAAAGCACCGATGTGCAGCAAGCAGCAATGGCTGAGCAATGTCCACTCTGTCCGTGTAAATGTTTAGAATTACGTGCACATCTATCTGAGGTAAATTATTATTTTTTAATATTTTTTGGCTTTTTAAGATTTAAAAAAAAATTGCAAAGTAATGCAAAAATTTTGCGCAAATATATTAATTAATAAGAGAGCAATTTTTGGCTAAAATTTTGCACACTGAGAAAAGAAAGAAAAAATTGTCAAGAAGTGGCATGCATAAAATGTGTAAAATAATTTCTCTACTTGTCAAAATATTGCAAGCTAAAGCTAAATATTATTATACTCAAAGCCAAAAATTTTTAAGCATAAATTGTGGTTAAATTTAAGCAGCATTCAATTCAAGCATTGAAAGTTTGATGATAAGTACAAACACTCTTAATTGAAGACGTTGCATAAGTAATGTAATAATAGGATAAAGTCAAAAATTAGCATGCAGTTAGGTTACATTCAAAAATTTTGAATAAATGAATTAAAACTTTCATTTATGTTTCTAATGAGATTTTAAAGGTTAAGGTTTAAAAGGTTGTAATATAGATAAATATATTAACTATATATGAATTATACATTGGTACTAATGTTTCACTTGTATACTAACACTTAAATATAAAATTAACTCAGAATTAACTTATAGTAAAATTGTCGTTTATGCAAAAGGAACTTTAGAAAATATGATGAATAATTTTAAAATATGAACTTTTTTCTTTCGAGATATGAATTATAAATGAAAAGATAACACCATATTAACATTTGTCAACAATTCATTTGGCATTGTTACCTAAGTATTTGTCTACTTTAAAAATTTAAAACAAAATTTAAAATATAAAAAATAGTAAATTACTAAATGAAATATTTTGATAAAATGATAATTTTTTTGAACTTCACCCACTGATCATTTTTTAACTCAAAAATGCTAGAAGGTGGGCAAAAAAATTGAAAAATGTTCGTTTTTTTATTGCTCTGTCATTTTCATTCTTTATTTTATCACTTATTTAGTTATTTATTTTTACTTACATATATATTCATTCATTTATTTAATTGGTGAAAATTTTGAAAGTTATTAGTTCTTTTTGGCAATATTTTAAACGAATTGCTATTAAGGCTCGTCGTTATTATTAAATATTTTATGTAAGGAAAAGCTTTTATTTGTCTATACTTACACTTTTCAATTTCATCAAAATAAATAGGATCTGATAGTCCTAATGATTATTTTTGCTTAATTATGCAAAAAACTCTTTTTTTAAGTCATAAGAAAGTTCTTTTATATCCTAAAAAGTTTCTTTATTGGTTAAAAAACAAAAAAACAAATCTTGCATATAGTTGTGATGACTTGAAATCATTGTTATTAACAAGACATAATTCTGTTCAGTAAAAATGTCATTATTAGAAAAGTATCCAATACTTAAAAAAAATAGTAAATGGACAATATCAAATAGTTCTTAAGTAGATCTAATCGATCTAATCAGAATATTATAAACAATAACAACAATTTTAAGTAATATTATGCTTATTATAAATAGAAACATTATTATTCATCACATTATTATTTAAATATTGATGAATAGTAGAAGTGAAGTTTTGTTATCAATTCACACCTTATCATTGATTAATTGATAAGTACTGATAATCTTTATTATAAATATTAGTGATCAAAAAAAGTTGAAATATTCAATTGGATCATTTTATTTGCATCATAGATGAATGTTAGACAGTTATTGTTGGCGTTGGTGAGAAGTAGTCTTTGTCAATAAAAAATTAGTTTGTGGAGGGAGGGAATATGTACAAATTAAGTTTGCTTAAAAAGCTGTTTAGTTGCCTAAGTTCGTTTGATACTCACTTCCATTAAGTTAATGAAATGAATGGATAGACTTATTTATTTATATGAGCAAAATTTCAATTTATTAGAGGTGCATTTGTTTGCATATCTCACGATGGTGCAAAAACTTGATTATAATACTTGATAGAGTTATTGCTTCTATATCATTAAGCTATAGTTTGTTTTTTAAATTTACAGTCACTTGATAACTTCCAGATTTGCATACAAATTACTTCTTTTCATTTTATTTTTTAAACAAATTATTACTTGTCTTATAAATATTTACGTGACTGTGTCTGTCTACTTGTGTGTGAGAAATACATTAGTACTTTACGCTTTAATTCGTAATTTTTAAAACGTTTACTTTTATGATGTCATTTTCAAGTATTTATGCATATACTTTGCAATTAACTTCCTTTTGAGTATTTGTTTTAGCAGAAACATGCATATAATAAAGTTTTTATTAATTGAATTGAATGAAAAATAAAATTGAAGCTAATTTTAGGAACATAAAATAGCTGAAGAAGCAATCAAACGATTGTTACTCAGTAACGCATCAAGCAACTTGCTCACTGATTCAACAGATTCTGATAAAAAGTTAGCTTATTTTACAATTGCACTAAAGTAAAGAAACTATTATAATTTAGTCTATTTTGTACTATACTATAATATTTTAAAATCATAACTGTACATATACTGTCTGTTTGTCCGAATTAAATCTAAGCGTAATTAATTTATGAAAAAATTCTTCATATATATAGCAATTTATCGTAATGAAATCGGTGAAATCTAGTGATAAAATTGTTGGTATATTAAATATGTTACTTATGTGGTTAGTGTAAGCAAAAAGTAACGAAAATTGTGAGGATAAAATGTAAGCAGAAAAATTAATAATTTTTGAAGATATTCTGACTTAATTAATTAATTAATTAAAAGAAAAAGATGAAAAAATTTGTTCATCCATATTTGTACTAGTATTATTTTTAATCAGTTGTAATAATCTCAATTTTCTATTTTCATTATATAAAATTATCAATTTCTTATAATTTCGTTTACATAATAAGCATTATTATACATTCGTGTATCATATTTAATTAATTATTTTAAAATAATTCAAATTCATTACGAATTTTCATGTTGCTTTCTTGTTGATTTTCATTCATCTGCCATTAAAATATAAATGAAATGCTAAAACATTTTTTGTTTTAATTTCTTGCATTCGTTTAATTACTTATTACGCTTGCTGCTTTTTAATATTTATTTATTTATTTATTAGAAAACAACACGAAAATTTCGTTTTTGTTTTTGCTTTTCATAAATTTGAAAAGATGAATTGATCAAAATGCAGCAAATTTGGTGACTAATGAAATTTGTAAATTCTTTAGCAGTTAAAAATTCAAAGCAAATGCATCATTATTGATTGATACTGATTACTTTTCTCGTAAATTTTTTGTAGAAACAGAAAAAACAGTTACTTACTTCATTTATTAAGAATGAATTAGTGTAAAAAATAAAATACCTAATAATGTTTCTTATATTAATTACTTGTAAAGTAGAGCAGTATTTCTAGAAGTAAAGTTAGTTTCTTCAAACAAGCAACTAATTTTGCATATTTCCTGAAAAATTGTTATAATATATAATGTATTTGTGTTTCTGTACTTCTTTAATATGCAATTTAGTTAAGTTTCATGGGAGCTATTATTTTATAAAAATTACTCTTAAAAATTTTATGATATTTTTTTTCCCTGAAATGAAAAAATAAAAATAGCCGCGTTTCAGAGATTCAAAATCTTCTTGCATGCTTTTAACAATCATTTTCCCAGCCGTATCATTAAAATAAAAGTGATAGCTTAAAACTAATAGGCTAGCTAGTTAGTTTGCTAACATTTTGCTTATTCATTCCTTTTATTTTCATTCATTTTCTCACTAATTTATACGAATAATTTTATTTGTTTATTCTTGCAGGAATAAATATGATCACATTGATTGATTGAATAAATTGATCGATTGATTTACTGATTTTATAAAATTTTTCAACTCACTAATGCACTCCACCTAGTATTCACTAAAAAATTATTTTTAGCAATGATTTGCATAATAATTTTTTATTAGCTTTTTTCGTATTTAATTATCATACAAAAGTATGAATCATTTTCAATGTTTTTAGTAAATTTTCAAGAGTTCTGAAGTTTTCGATTTATTTGCGAAATGAATCAGAAAAATGTTAGCATTTGTAAAAAGTAAATGAATAATCACATATTTTAAATAAAGATTTTAAATAAATATTTGAATTCAATTTTTGCGTTTGCAGATTACTAGCTGATTGTTTATATAAATTATAGTTCAAGGAAAAACTAGTGCTTTGCACTAGTTTTTCCTTGAAATATAATTAACTTTGAATTAAGCTAAAATAGCAGCAAGTAAAAAAATGAAAAAAATTTATTTAAAGAAATCAAATCTTGAATTTTGAGATTCATTACAAATGTTTGATCTTATTAATGTCCAAATATAGTATTTCAATTGATCATGCATTTTTACTGCAGCCTTTGTTTTGTTATTACCTACAGTACACCATACAAAATACAGTAATAAAATGTTGTTTTTCATAATTTGAAAAAATATATTTGCATTCTCCTCATAAAAATAATAATAGAACTAACTGCATGCTCAAATATCTCTGAGTAATTTATTATTTTTCAGATTAAAACAAAAAAATATATAAAAGGTCGTTGTTTTATAATAATTTTAAAAATGGCCCTCTTCAACAGCTGGAATTTTAAAACGAATGCTCAAAAAAATTTTAGCAGCAACACTTTATTGCTTTTGCACAGCTTAACGAATCTGCTTGCTTGCTTTCAGTTATGATAATATTACTTTAATGTGAATAAAAGTTATAATTTTGATTTGAAAAAAAATAAAATATTTGGTGCAATTTTGAGATTAATGCGGCAGAAAAGTTTATGGATAACATTTTATTTATTATTACTTCAATTTTGCACACTCAAAAGATGAAATCTTTAAAATTTTGTTAGTCTTATGTAATTTTATTTTCTTATGTCATTTCCCTCTAATATCTATTTTATATTGCTTAAATTACTTGACAGTATTAAATTCAGATTCACATAAAGGCTGGTTGTATGCATCGTTATGCACTCTTTTGCAATATTTTATTGCCATTTCAAGCAAAATATTGTATACTTTTTGCATTAAAAACCTTTTTAATACTTTTGTTATCAAAATGAATATAACGGTGATAAGTCTTATACTTGTTATGAATTGTTGAAAAGTAGTCAGCAGAATTAATCTTTGAGAAATTTTAATTTAGAGAAAAATTTTTGCTCAGTTTATTGCCATTAGATACCGAATTTTAATTAAAGTAAGTGATTTTTATTTGTAATGCTAAGATTTTATTTTTGTAAAGCGTTTTTTTTAATTAGTCAGTCATCTATTAGTTGTATTTAATCATTTGCAGTACTTTTTATTCTCTTCTAATAATTGACTGCCTTTTGTGATCAGTCGGGATCACTGAGATCAATCGAGATCACCGAAATCAAACAAATAACTACAAAATGAATACAATTTAGTTGCTTAGAGAAAATTTAATGATTTTTACTGATATTAAATTCGTCATCAAAGCAATAATCGTTAATAAAATATGTATAACATTGTAATGTTGGCTTTCAAGTTTGTTTGGAATTGCTAATGAGAGATACAAAAATGTTTTCGCATGGTCTTAAGGTGTTTATTGTACTATTTTAAAATTATTCTATAAATATAAATTATTTTATAAAAATAAAACTACAAAATCTTTAACTTTTTCCGATCGTTTTCTGCATTTCTCTTGCTTACATGCATATTTTACGAATATGATAATGAGCAAAGATAAAGATAAATGTTTTTGCTGCAAGCAGTGCAATTTTCTCCCATCATTTTTTGTGTTCAGCATGATGTAGTTTGATTATCTGATTAATACCACGCAATTCGAATTCTTGCTTTCTCGACTTTTTGCTTTACTTAACGGTGTGAAAACTGTGCCTTTTAACTCAATGTTATGTTACGAGCATCACTTCACTGTCAGTATCATAACAGCTGTTATGTGACTTTAAGATTTTTACAGTTAAATTTTAAAGATTCAATCAAGTATTTTGTAAATGTGTTGTATTTATTTATTTTCTAAAACTTTTCAACTTTATCAATTGATGCTTTTGATTATTAATAAATAGTAATTACTATGTATAATAAATAATAGCACTAGGAACTGCGTATAGATTAATTAATCAAATTTATAGTTTAAACAATAAAACGGATCGACAAATTTATCGTTATCATTGTTCACAATGTTCACTGGCTTTTCGTACAGAACAACGTTTAGCTAGCCACATTTTGCATCATACTTTTCGAGCCAGCACTCGTTGTACTAATTGTGATCAAACTTTTCGCTCACATGAATTATTAAAAAGGCATACTGCTCAAGAGCATAGCAATAATAATGGTTTATTTTCACTAATTAATTATTAATTTTTTCATATTTTTTTTTCTCACCCACAAAATTCATCTTTGAACTATAAAAGTTAACTAATTGATGATTATTTACAAAATATTTTTAGAAAAATTATCCAATCAACTTATCGATTAGTCAAAAGTGAATCGTATTTATATAGGCAAATTTTAGGCAAAGCTTGTAGTCCGCCAACTACAAGTTCTTATCAGTGCGAGTCAGATGAAACAACAGTTGATGATAAAATGGAAATTGATCAAGTTGATACTTTGAGGTTGCTTGTATTAATTGATTCATTTTCAAAGTTTTATCAAGTTGATAATATTTTAAATATTTTTAAACACTTTGCATGTTTCATGGCTAAACACATACTTTTGATTATTATTTTTATAGGTATTACTTTTATATTCATAATTTGGTATACTATAATAAGGCAATTAATTAATTATTTTTAATTGCAAAATATTGTCTGAGTTAATTTTTATGAAATTGTTATTATTTCGTCAAGGATTACTCCTTGATTATAAAAGATTGAAACAATTGCTCAACCCAAAAGATTTGATTGCTTTTAGGCCTTTCAAATGTGAACTTTGCAAAGAGAATTTTGAACAAAAGCATCATTTACTAGTGCATTATAATTCAGTAGATCACCTTCATAAGGCTAAAAAAATGCTTGAAGAACAATCAAACAACTTTCAACCGAGTGCACAAGTTAGTATTTTTGATGATATTTTTTGTGCTGTAATAAAGAAGTAATAAATTCATCATCTAAAGCAAATAATTGTGATTAAAAAAGTTAAATAAACTCTTTCATTTCATCTAAATTTTTTCGTAGATTTTGGCAGCACTACAAGCTTCAACAAGTTCTCAGTCCTTGCAAGGAGGCTCGAAACCATTCAAGTGTAATTTATGCAAACTGGGATATGGACAAGGATCTACTTTGGACATACACATAAGGTATGTTGAATGTTAATTTTGTTACTCATGCTGAATTAAAAGTTTTTTTTTTCAAATCGGCTCAAGAATTAAGTTGTTATTATTTAAAAATTTGGAGTAAACTAATATGACTGTTCTTATCCGATACTGGAAAAAGTTCTTAAATTTTTTAAAATCTTTTGTTGTAAATCTTAGTATCACTTTTTAATTTCTATATATGGGCACAGGCCTTCAAAATATTATTTAAAAGAATGAATTATCCAAGTAATAAGTCTAGCTAATTGATACAAATGTGAGAACATTTTTGCTTAATCTGATGAAAAGACATTGCTATTACTTATTGCTAACTGCAAATGTTTATTAAAATATTTATTTGAATTGTTGGAAATGACTATGAATATGGTCATTAGATGAAGATTTTACATTGTTAGATCAGTTGCTCATCAGTCACGCTTGGCAAAGGTAGCAGAACTTTTGGCTCAAGGCGAAATTGATGGTTGTAAGCCAATTGTTGAGCAACCCGGTGGCCCGACACAAAAAATTTTAGCTGAATTAGCTAACAAGAATGATTCAACTGCCAATTTATTACAGGTAATTCATACTTTAGTATTCGTTTCATGGTTGTTTCAACATTTCTGATTTGTCATTCCAATAATTTTCACGAATCAAAATCACGAATATAATTATTTATATTGGTTTTTTTATATAAACTAAATTAACGAATTATCAGTACTTACTCAGACTTTAAAAAATTTGATAAATTATTAAGAATAATTGAGATTTTTTTCTTGGAAACAAGGATGATATGTTTATTAGGTTTTGGTAATTTATCAAGTTTATTTTCATTTAAACTAGTATCATTTCTAACACTCCATCTCGTGTTCTGAATGAATTGATAAATTTTGACCTTTTCTTCTCATAGATTCTAATAGTTTAGAGATTTTCTTTGACTTAGCTGAAATATTTTTAGCTAAATCAAGGAAAATCTCTAAACATTAATATTTATTTTTAAACTCACTGAGTTAGCATTTACTAATGCTGCATGTTTTAATATCATATACTTTCTTACGGTATTTCTGTATTACTTTATGTTTCAAAGTGATGTGGTGTTACTGTAATGCAGCAAATGTTTCATTCGTTTTTCCCTTAACAAGGCATCTTCCCTGTTTATTGTTTGTTAAACTTTTTTTTGCACATTAGATTACACTTTTGATTTGAATTTGCAAAGTTTACAGAATTAATCATTTATGTATTATTGTACAGATGTATGTATGTATGTATGTGCGTGTGTGTGTGTGTGTTTATGTTATATTTATGTGCATGTCTGTGTGTGTATATTGTGTGTATGTGACAGTGTATATGCGTGTACGTGAGCGCGTGTGCACAGACTATTACTGCCTGCATTGTACTTTGCGTTGGAAATGTAAGTTTTTCGATGAAATTGGATGACAAAAACAAGGAGAACACAATTGTGGTTTGTGCACATTTCACTAATGTTAA